GAAGTTTTTGGTTTTTTTGTTTTTTTTTTTTGCGGTACGCGGGCCTCTCACTCTTGTGGCCTCTCGCGTTGCAGAGCACAGGCTCCGGACGCGCAGGCTCAGCGGCCACGGCTCACAGGCCCAGCCGCTCCGCGGCATGTGGAATCTTCCCGGACCGGGGCACGAACCTGTGTCCCCTGCATCGGCAGGCAGACTCTCAACCACTGTGCCACCAGGGAAGCCCTGTTGGGAAGTTTTTGATTACTGATTCAATCTCCTTATTTGTTATACATCAGTTCAGATTTTCTGTTTCTTCTCGAGTCAGTTTTGGTAGTTTGTGTGTATAATAATCTGTTTCTCCACACAACATTTCTGATACCAAGTGTGTGTGTTTTCCACATCAAGTAGTTTTCCAATTCTCTGTGGATACCAACTGGGTGTTCTATTATTTAATTCATTTTTGACACTACCTGGAGTTAATACAACCAATTATACATTCAAATTAGGGGGAAAAAAAAGTGCTGCTGGAAAATGGTACCAGTAGACTTGCTTGATGCAGGGTTGCCACAAACCTTTAATTTGTAAAAAAAAACCCCACAGTATCGGGCTTCCCTGGTGGCGCAGTGGTTGAGAGTCTGCCTGCTGGCGCAGGGGACATGGGTTCGAGCCGTGGTCTGGGAAGATCCCACATGCCATGGAGCAACTAGGCCCGTGAGCCACAACTGCTGAGCCTGCTCGTCTGGAGCCTGTGCTCCGCAACAAGAGAGGCCACGACAGTGAGAGACCCGCGCACCGCGATGAGGAGTGGCCCCCGCTTGCCACAACTAGAGAAAGCCCTTGCACAGAAGCGAAGACCCAACACAGCAAAAATTAATTAATAAACAAACAAAACCACAGTATCTGCAAAGTGCAATAAAGTGAAGTGCAACAAGACGAAGTATGCCCGTACAAGAGTTCTAGGAGCTCTCTGTTAAGAACCAAGGACAAAGACCAAATATATATTTCTTATTGTATCATGATATCAGTGTGTTTCTAGGAATTTGTTCATTTCATTTGTTATCCAATTTATAAAACTCTTAACACTCCTTATTTCGGTAAGGTTGGTGATAACGTCCTCACTTTCATTTCTAATTTTAATAATTTGAGTCTTCTTTTTTTCATAGTCAATCTAACTACAGGTTTTTCAGTTTTGTTAATCTTTTCAAAGAACCAAGTCAGTTTGTTGATTTTCTTTTTTTTCTGTTTTCTATTTTACTTATCTCCACTTTAATATTTTTTATTTATTTCCTTATGTTGTACTTCTTGTAGTTCCTTAAGTTGTACAGTTAGGTTATCAATGTCAGAGCCTTCTTTTTTAAAATCTGTTTAACACATATATGTTTTAATTGAAGTATAGTTGATATACAATATTTCAGATGTACAGCAAAGTGAATCAGTTACGTGTATGTATATATATATGTATTTAGATTCTTTTCCATTACAGGTTATTACAAGGTATTAAATATAGTTCCTTGTGCTACATAGTAGGTCCTTGTTGTTTATCTGTTGGTTTTTTTTTGGCTGCGCCACGCGGCTTCTGGGATCTTAGTTCCCTGACCAGGGATTGAACCGGGCCCTCGGCAATGAAAGTAATGAGTCCTAACCACTGGACTGCCAGGGAAATCCCATTGTTTATCTATTTTATATATAGTAGTGTGTATCTGTTAATTCCAAACCGAAATTCCCAATTTATCCCCCCCCACACCGCTTTAACAAGTATTTATTGAACACCGGAAGTGTGAGTGCTTAGATCTGATCCCCAACTCCTACGCGCTAATTGAGATATTTACTCCTCACTCCCTCAGGTTTCCTAAGGATGAGACTGCTCAGTGAGACTCTGACTGTACCTGCTGCATCACAAAGATCTACGCAGAGCACGATGGGCATGGGGGCTGAGGGAGGAACACCCATGTAGGCAGTGTGGATCTCACCAGGTACTTTTATTCATGCCAGCAGGTCAGTGGCAGGTTCCCATCTGAGACAGCTTGCTGAAATCTACAGCCAGACTGACGTTCCCTCCAACTAAAGCTGGTTAATGATGACCATGAGCAGGCGCAGGACTGCTCACGGTCATCATGAGCAGTCAAATTTCAAAGCTTTACTTCTTTTATCAGTACTCCTGATTTTGTTTGTTTGTTTGTTTTTTGTTTTTTTTTTTGCAGTACACGGGCCTCTCACTGTTGTGGCCTCTCCCGTTGCGGAGCACAGGCTCCGGACGCGCAGGCTCAGCGGCCATGGCTCACAGGCCCAACCGTTCCGCGGCATGTGGGATCTTCCCGAACCGGGGCACGAACCCGTGTCCCCTGCATTGGCAGGCGGACTCTCAACCACTGCGCCACCAGGGAAGCCCAGTACTCCTGATTTTATAAATGAAGCCCACCAACTCCATTCCTACCCAAACCTCTTGGTAAACTTGTGTATAGTAGGGCTTCACAGGGATCCAAATATTTTTAATAAAGCTTTGAAGCATATAGGAGTAGGACCAAAGACTCAGGCTGACCCAACCTGCAAGATCCTTCTGCTTTTTAAAAATTTTTTTAAACAGTTTTTTGTTTGTTTTTTTGCGTTGGGTCTTCATTGCTGTGCGTGGGCTTCCTCTAGTTGTGGCGAGCGGGGGCTACTCTTCGTTGTGGTGCGTGGTCTTTTTGTTGCTGTGGCTTCTCTTGTTGCGGAGCAGGGGCTCTAGGTGCATGGGCTTCAGTAGTTGCAGCATGTGGGCTCAGTAGTTGCGGCACGCGGGCTCAGTAGTTGTGGCTTGTGGGCTCTAGAGTGCAGGCTCAGTAGTTGCAGCGCACAGGCTTAGTTGCTCTGCGGCATGTGGGATTTTCCTGGACCAGAGATTGAACCCATGTCCCCTGTGTTGGCAGGTGGGTTCCTAACCACTGCGCCACCAGGGAAGTCCCCTTCTTTTTAATGTAGACATTTACAGCTATAAATTTCCCTTAGCAGGATTTTTGCTGCATCTCATAATTTTTGGTATAGTGTATTTTAATTTTTATTCATTTCAAGGTATTTTCTAATTTCCCTTGTATTTTCTTCTTTGACCCATCAGTTAGTTAACAGTGTTATTTAATTTCCACATATCTGCAGATTTTCCTAGTTTTCCTTCTCTTATTGATTTCCAACTTCATTCCTTTGTGACAAGAAAAGACACTTTGTATGATTTCAATCTTTTTTTTTGCGGTACGCGGGCCCGTCACTGCCATGGCCTCTCCCGTCACAGAGCACAGGCTCCGGACACGCAGGCTCAGCGGCCATGGCTCACGGGCCCAGCCGCTCCACAGCACGTGGGATCCTCCTGGACCGGGGCACGAACCCGTGCCCCCTGCACCAGCAGGCGGACTCTCAACCACTGCGCCACCAGGGAAGCCCTGATTTCAGTCTTTTAATATTAAGATTTGTTTTGTGGCCTAACATATGGTCTCCAGTTAACTTTACAGATGAACATGAAGCTCAGAGGTGAAATGACTTTCTGAAGGTCACACATTTGTTTAGTTATAGAATTAGGGCTAGAACCCAGGTCTTTTGATTCTTAGTCATTCATCATTGACATTTGATAAGGTGTATTAAAAGTGTGAAGGGGCTTAAGGAGCCAAACTTTGCTGGCTCTTCTGCTTTCTCCTATCACTTGAAAGTAAGTATTCTCCAAGGTTTTGTTTGTCCTCCTACCTCCACACATTCTCTAGCTGCTTCCATTGCAGCCTCCCTCCAGCTTGGAATGCCAGTCCCCTTTTCCAATTCCATGCCTGTTATTTCTACTTTAGTGATATGTGAGAACCTTAGAACCAACATGTGATAAAAGGAACTCACGTTTTTCTCTGCATTCCGTCAGCAAATTTTCCTAGCATTCCTTTTTTTGTTGTTAATGGTACTGCCACTCATTATCCCAGTGACTCAGGGTGGGAAGACTGAAGGTCAATTTTAATTTTTTTCCCTTCACAAGGTCTTCAAATCTGATTAGCTGGAAACTGTTGTGGTTTCCCTCTGTAGTACTATTCCTATTTATCCTTTCTTTCACATTTTCACTGCTATTCTATTACCTTTTGCCTGTATTATTGTAATAACCTGATAATTCATGCTGCTCTTTAATTACTGCTATACAATATTTATAATCTTTTTAAAGAATAACTATGACGGTGTCATCCTCCTCGCAAAATCATCAAACAATAGCTTCCTTGCGCCCACTGAATAAGGTGCACACTTCTCAGCTTGCCATCCAGGGCTCCTCATAATTTTGTTCCAAGCTTTTTATTCCACATTTATTGCAGACTTTACCACACGGCATATGCTCTAATTACCTAAGCCTTAGTCTTGCAACACATACTGTACTGAGTACAAGGTGCTGCGAATCCATTGGGAAGCAAAACAGACCAGGTCCTTTCCCATTCTTGCCTCCTGGATCTCAGTCTGATCTTGGACCTACTCTTCTGCACCTTGCACTCCAGACCAGGCTCCTCTAAGAACTTCCCTGTTCCTACCCATGGTGGGCCTAAAGGGAAAAAGGCGGCTGAGGGAGAGGAACAGGAAAAGATTGCAAAGTGCGAAGGTCAGGTGTGAAATCTGCAGCCCTCCTTCCCCTATCAACTACAGCAGGGCCCAACTCTTTACCCCGGAGTTAAACGAGTCTGAATAAGGGCCAGGACTGGGCTTGGCTGAGAAAACAGGGGCAATGGGAGAGAAGTTGGTTTCGGAGAGGAAAGCTTGCGATTTCAAAAACCGTTACAGCCTCTCGTTTCTCAGTCCGCAGTCCAGGCTCTCCTGCTCACTCTCTCCTGGAGCAGTCCAAACTGGCCTCACCTGGCCTCCCTCGCTCCCTCGTGGCGTTCTCCTTCCCCGCAGTCGCAGTTCCCGCCTAGAGCAGCCGCTGAGCCCACGGAGGAGGGGCGTCTAGCTGGTTCCAGCCTCTTCGGGCACTTAGCTCGCGGACCCGCCCCCCGCGCCAGTTGCCAGGGAGCGGTTGCCATAGAGCTGAGCAGTTGTCCGCGTGCGCAGGCGGAAGTCCCGGATTGAGGCGCCGCCATTTTTGCAGCCCGGGCGCGGAGCGAGAGGCTGAGAGTTGGAGACGCTATCCGCTTCCATCCGTCGCGCAGACCCTGCCGGAGCCGCTGCCGCTATGGATGATCGGGAGGATCTGGTGTACCAGGCGAAGCTGGCCGAGCAGGCTGAGCGATACGACGGTGAGTTGGCGGGGCAACGGGGGGCTGGAATTCTCGGACCCTCTGCCGCCGCCCACAGAGGCCGGGAGCAGGAGACAAAATGGCGGCATCGTCTCCAAGCCTAGCCCGGGGACGTGGATTCGGGAAGCAGGAAATGGCCTCTGGGCTCCCGGAGCGGTAGGAGGCTCCAGGCTCAGGAATTTGACCTGTTCGGAGTCCTCAGCTGCAGACATTCGCGAGCCGAGGAGACCAAGGCCATAGGGTGGAGGAGTTGGTTGTAAAATGGCGGCTGGGGGGGGGGGCGGGTCCCGGGGGGGGGGGGGGGGAGGAGATGGCGGGTGCTGTCTCCGGGCGAGCAATCACCAGGGGAGTTTCTGGGCCGGTTTGGGGACGTGGTGAACAATTTGGTGGCGTGATGAGGGACGAAACACCCGCCACATGGGGGAGAGTGGCGACTCGGCGCTGTAGCGCGGGCGCCTTTCAGGGAAATATGGCGGGTGGGGGCGGTGGCTTTTCCCCGGAGGCCCAAAGTGGGGCGGCGGCTGTGGAGTCTCACAAAGGAGAACCCTTGCAAGCGGAGGGCTTCTCTGGGCTTGTGGTGGGGGGCCGTCTTGGATGAGGGTGGGGGAAGGGGGGAGAAAGTGGGAATCACTGCAGTTCATCCTTGGGCGGAGGCCAGCTGAGATGCTACGGTCGGATTTCCTTCCCGTAGGCCGGCACACCTTGTAGCGGGGTTTTTTAGGCTTTCCGTTCAACCTCGCTTTTTTCTAGGGAGGCCTAGAAAAATCTCTTTCACGTTCCCTGTCCTCAGATTTATCCCAGAGAGCTCGAAGTTTCTGTAATCATTTTCTGGCTCCATAAGTTGTGGGTTCTGCTGGATAGAACATTGAACAGGAAAAAAGGAGATCATGACTCTTAGTCTCTTTTCCATGCCTGTGCTTCAGTCTACCGGTATTTAAAAATGATGACTTTCCTGTTTATACGCAGCGTTATGACAAATGGAAGGACCTGTTGAAAAATAAAGTTTTTTCAAATAACGTGTAGTAACTATTTGGTTGACTCCCCTGGCTTGGAATGCGTGTTCGTACTTCATTGGGGATATTCAGTTATTCCAAAGCACTCAGCAGAGACTTCGGTTTTTGTATTAAGAACATAAGGGATCCCAGCAGATCCTGTTTTCTTTTCTCCAGTTTTAATAGACGGCTTTATGTACAGATTGGAACAGTTCTTCTTTGTTCATTGCTCCTTTGTTCCTAAAGGTGCTATAGTCATTTTTCAGAACTTTATCGAAGTGGTGGCCATTGTGTCTGTTTGCTCAGTCCCAAAGTGCTGCTTTTTTTAATTGCCCCTCCCGGCCTGGGTCCCTCCCTTCCCCCATTTTGGACCTAGGTATTTGAATTACCCCCACATCCTTTAAACTAGGATTATCAAAACAAAAAATCTTATGTATGCTTTTTGTGTTTTTAATGCTGTTGTGGGGTGAAACGTGGTTGGAATCAAGTGTCAGTGATCTTTAGATTTTGCTTCATTAAACCATTTATTTTTCAACATTCTGTGTGGGAACCTTGCTTTCCTTGAATGCCTGTTTGGTCATGTGAATAGCTTCAGGGCTAGTCCCAGTGTGTCATCATACCTTAGGATTCAGGAATTTGAAAATTAGGAGAAAAGACCTCGAACTCAAATTTAGGAAAGATCACTAAATTTCGTTTTGTAAATCCTTAAATTGCTGTTTGTATTGAACAAGATTTCTGTTGGGAGGAGGAGGGGAATAAGATGGGGAAATACAGCTCAAGGTCAGACTTGTCTTTATTTCAGTATTTAAAAGTCAAACAAATGTAGGTGTGCTTGTAATGGAAGTTTTTTTCTTCTTCCCCTCTCCTGCCCCAAATAGGTTCCCCTCTTAATCTACCAGTGCCCTTGGGAAGAAACTCTAAATTGTATTTGAATGTTTTTTGTTGTGTAGGGATTTAGGCTTTGAGTAAACCTGCTCTGATCACCAAAAAGGACATGGAGGAAGGTTTTTTTAAGAACTTATTTTAAAAACTGATTTGGAAGCTTGTGATTGTAGCTTCCAAGTAAGTGACACATTAGTGTGAAAATCATATTTTTGGAATTGGGTGTTGAGGATTTTTGACCAAAGGCTTAATTGGTTATTCATCACAGGACTATAGAGCCACATCCTTACTGTTGTTTAAACATTAGGGTTGTCCTTCAGGATCTAAGGGTGGGGGGTATATAGGATCTCCCAGGGGGAGAGGATCTCTTGTGACTTTTGGGCACAAAATTGGGAGGGAGTCATTGGAAAGGAAGAAGAGGAAGACAGTCATTAGGAATCATCCTCTACCTTTGTCCACTCCTTTATTGGGTGCAATAATTCAGTTTTGTTTGTGGTCACAAAAAAAAATGGCCCCATAGTTATAAGTTGCCAAACAATTTATCAGGTATGGGGAAGGTGAAGAGTGCTTTTGATGATTTGGTTTGGTGTAGTTGGATATACATACTGGCTTTTTTCCTTGTTCTTGCAGTACCTTTAGCTTTTATCTTGCATGTTATGTTGAACCTAGTACTTCAACTTTTTTGTGGCATCATTTAACTTTGTCCTGGTGAATTGGAATCAATTGATGCAGATTATTTAATGGTACTGGAGGACGAGCTAAGCTGTGTTCAGGAAAAGGACAGTTTGGTGTTGCAGATGGGAAATATTGAAGTTTGGGGCTAGGACTGTTCACTTTGAAGATCAAATCTAGCATCTTATCATGTAACAACAGTAGTCTAAGGGAGGGTTTTTATATCCTTCATAACCATATTAAGCAAGCCCATCATCTTTTAGCATTTCTGAAGTCTTAACTTCTCATGTATATGAACCATATTAGTATGGGAAAGTGGGGAATATAGAGGGGGGAAAATGAGTACTTTCTACATTTTTTGAGAATAGAGCGGTCACCATAAGCTACATTTGGGTTGTGGGGTAGTGCTGGTTTTGGCCTGTTCTCACTTTTCTTCTCCATGTGATGATTAGCTCCACATGAGGTAGGGGTAACATTTTTTTTTTTTTTTGCCCGCGCCGTGTGGCATGCGGCATGTGGGATGTGGGATCTTAGTTCCCTGACCAGGGATCAAACCCGTGTCCCCTGCATTGGGAGCGTGGAGTCTTATCCGCTGGACCACCAGGGAAGTCCCATGGGGTAACATTTTGATGGTCGAGTTTGATTCAGTCTGTGAACGGAACACCAGGAATGCATCTGTTCTGTGTCACTTGAGAGCTGTCCTTTTAAGACACCAGAGCCTCATCTCTGGCTTATTTTGGTAGTCAGTGAGGGGTGGGGGGCATGTTTTGAATTACCTCCTTAATATACGTCTTGTTAGGAAAAAAAAAAATGGATAAGAGTAAATTGACTTTAGTAATGAGTTTAAAAGCACAGGTTAATTATCAGCTCTTTGACTATAGGCCAGTAATAATTTTTATTGTTGCAATTTCACTTAATGCTGAAATTGCTATTTCAGTTAATGGAGTTAAGTTTATTGCATACATTTCTCCTATCTAAACATAAGCAGAGTTGGATAATGCAATTTAAAAATTCCTCCTACAAGTAGCTTTTAGTCTTTGTGTTTAAGGTAGATGCTCTTTTGTGTATATTTTAGTGCATATACACAATATATAGTTCAGTCTATTTTGTTGGCTTACAAAACTATAGAATATAATGAAATCATGAATCATTGCAATTTGAGGTGGTGATGGGGTAAATTCTTACTGTGGACATTTCTAGGCACCCTTTTCACCTTTGAATTCTAGTATGGGGAAGAACACAGATACTAAACTGAGCAAATTTTGGATTCATTAAGTACAAGCAAACCCACTGAAAGTCCATACAAATAAGCAGGCTTTTCATAATTGTTTTATAGCTTGGTCAAGGGAATATGAAATATTCAGAAAATTTCTTGACTTTAACCTGGTATAGCAAGTGAAATTTCAGCACAGTGAATTAATGTATCTGATTTTACAAATGAATTTCAAATACTTTAAGAAGCTGATCTGAAAGCATGATTTTTTTTTTTAAAGGGCTGTAAGGCTGATTTTCCAGCAATTTTTTAGCCTTATATTTAAGTAAAGTGTATTTAAACAGTAGTGACAGGCATAGGATAAAGGTTAAAATTTTAAACTTTACGTTATATAGTTTCATATTTATATAGAATTTCACAGACCACTTTCAGAAAATTTTTTACTTATTTCATGTGATATTGAAGTAGGTAGTGTTAATTCCATTTTATGGTTCAGGAAAGTAAATTTGAGAAGATTTAGTGATTTTTTTTGTTTTGTTTTGTTTTTTAATTTTCCTGTATCACATGATTAGTTGGCAAGTACATGGCAAAGCCAGAACTTGTCTGTCTGATGACCTTTAGACTGGTACTCTTATTTCTCCTGAGCCACTCACAAAAGACCCATGTGTAACTAAATCAGATGGTGCCTTGTGGGAGGAGGGGTATGCTTATTTTTTTAGCAGTTACTTCACATAATATGTTTTGGTATTTATGACTTGACTCGTATCCATTGTAAATAGGTAAGATATCTTCATACTTTTCTAAAGAAACCTCTTGTTTTCTTTCAAAAACAAGGCACAGTGAATGAAGTTAGAGTGATGAATTTTAGGTAGTCTCAAAGTGTGTTTATATTTAGGTTTTTTGCTTTATCGCAATTTCTGTATTGGGATATAACTTAATGCCATGCATTTCTGTAAAGTACTTCTAAAACGTTTCTGCCCCTCACCTTAGTCTTAATGAATGCAGCCCTTAAATTAATGATATAGTCATAAAAATTTTGGGGGGCAGGGAGGTTGGCAAATGATTCTCAAATGTTCCAGATAGTAGCCTAGCTAGCTGTTAAGCAGAATCTATTAAGGGGTAGTGGGGAACAGAAACAAAATTGTTTTCACGGTTTTTGAAATGGTCAGTTAACAGTTTGATACAGTTAAATACAGATACATCCCAGTTGACAGATTGGTTTGCCAAGATAACATTACTTT